ACATGAAGTTTTGCATCAGTTGAATTTCTGACCAAGTAAGAAGTAGCAGAAGTTGGCAAATACCACTGAAAAGTGGGACCCTGATACAGTAATCCAAAGCAACAATAAGTTAGGCATTTCTGTAAAAAACACTGATTTTCAGCTATTCTCTAGAATTTTAAAACTCAAAGGATTTTTTCTTAGCAACTGAACCACATCCTGCTGTTGCCATTCTTTTTGTTTGAGCAGAATTACCATTAAAAATACGAAACAAGAAAACTGTCTTACTCTTCACTCTACGTTTTTTCCCCAAATCTCTGTCAGTATATATGTAAGACAGAAAAGTTGAAGGAAAACCTATCTTTAACACAAGCCTTGCTTTACAAGTTTATGTGTTCAGGTTTTTTAAGACAGTCAAACATCTTCTGTATACTTTTAATTCTCAGCTATATATTGACAATGCAAATGACAAAAAATGCAGCAACATATTACAAGAGATACATCAAAATTAAAGAGACCCAAAAGCAAGAGGTTAAAAAAACAAAACAAGAGGGTTTTAGGGAAGGGAATATTACTGCTACTTCATCATTCCTTTACTTATTGTTCATTACTATTATGCTCCAGTAACTGCTCTTTTGATTTTTGTTCCATGTTTCTTATTGTATTCAAGGGCTCGGTACCTACAGAAATTATATGTATTCTATATATGTATTCAAAACCATTCTGCCAGTTTTGTTTGAACTACACAGCATTTCTTTTCTTACCCTTTAAGGCATCAGAATTATTCAGCCATGGCCTAAAAAACCAAATGGGAAAAAAATTCATGTCCATAATTACATTTTTTCATCTTGACAATCATCATATTTGCAATTCAGTACATTATTATTGAGGCATGTATGTTGGCAATTTTTGGTTGTGGTACTGCTAATGCCTACCATGTTTAAAGAAAAGTGATCGAGTCCCTGGATATATTTTGATCAGCTCTATAATGAGATTTTAAAAATATACTTTTAAACCTACAGCATCTATTTAGAGACAAAAACCTAATAAACAAGTTAAGTCTATTGTAGGTCACTTAACCCTCATCTGTCAAAAAATGAGGGCAGTTCTTCAAACATGGCAGAATTCTGCTAGCAAAGTAAGGTTATCCTATCACTTCCACTTCTCTTGTTCTTTACGCTTCAACAGCATTTTTACTAAATTGATTCAAGACATATTCCCTGAAGGCTCCACAATGGACTCGTATTCTACATCAGCTAGACATTAAAAGCAGTACAGAAAAGTTTGTTTTGCTATATTCAAGGTTAATTAAAAATAAATAAATTATAAAATACTTAAAAAAAGGAATGAAACATACTTAAAAACTTATCACCCTACTTTACACACAAATATAATAAGCCCTAGGAAAGAAGCTCTATCAGGTTAGTGACATCAGCTGTTACCGAAGCCACATGGAAGTTCTTACTTAAGACTATTTTCAGCTGCCTTTTGAACTACTCAGTATGAAATTTTCCATGTCTACTGTTTGCTTCAGGTAGTTTTTCCTTTTCCCTCCCCTAAGCACTACCTTTTAAAGAAACCCAGAGAATGGCTGGAACATTTTTATACTGTGAGAGAACCTGAGAGGCTGTAACCACTTTCCTGCCCTGAACTGGTAACTTGAAGTCAGACTGGACAATGCTTTTTTATGAAAGAGGTACACTTTGCTCTTTTTGTGAAAATATGACCTGACTTAGCCAAGGTACAAGCTTCTAGAAATCCAAGTTTGTACCTATCTTTTGCAAGATCTGCTGGAGCTTAACAACCAACCACCAAACACCCTCAGTGGCCTTCTGTATGTCATCTGAATGTGCAAGGCAACTGAATTAAGTTTTCTCTAACCTCTAGCTATGAGTGAAGAGTCAGATGTTCACTGTAAAAGAATCACAGAACATTCTGAGTTGGAAGGGACCCACAAGGATCTTCAAGTCCAACTCTTTGATGAGTTGGCCCATCCAGGGATTGAACACACAGCACAGGCATTTCTGCAGCCTCAACTATGCTGATATCCCTAACACAGGTGAAAACAGTGGCCTGTCACTTCACATTGTTGGGTAACTAAGGAGAATTTAGGGTGGAGAAAAAATGGAAGAAACAGCTTGTAGTGGAGATCAGAATTGGACGCTTGAAAGAATAAAGTGGGATTAACTAGACAATGAAAGAAACTAAGAGGAATGTAAAATGGGGTAGTGGATTAAACCAAAATGAGCAATGCCAAGCAGAACAATGCAGACCTGGGGATCACCAGGACTGGATAGAATGAGGGACAGATATTCTATCTCTGATACAATCTGACTGAGTTGGATTTTAATAAAAGTATGTGGAAAGGAGATGGCTCACAACAAAAGACTGAAAAAAGACCCATCAACAGGAATCAGACAAGATGAAAAAACAGCAGAAGCAAGGGAAAGTGAGAAGAATTTGTAGGCAGGCAAGGACTGGCAGCAGAGAGACAGCATGCAAACAAGAGACGGTCTGGGACTAGTCAGGCCTAAATATTTGCTTGAAAAGACAGGATCAGTGCTGCCCTAGAGACTGGCTTGAGGCAGGGAAAAGCTGGAAGTATAGGTAAAAACCTAAAAAAAGTGTTTGTCTTCAGAAGCTTTTAAAAACGTAAAACAAAACACCCTAAAGACTTAACATCCTCTGCAAGTATCTGCAAACTTCTTTCTCCTCCTCAAAAAAATATCCCACTTTCCACTAATACTGATAAAAATACCATGTAAGAAGCCATAACTTTGTTCCTTTCTTAATTCAAGCAACAGTAATGTTCATGTACCAAATTTAAAGTTCTAATCCTGCTAATTATTAACCTGACACCTATATCACAGAGCATCTCATTTTGCTATTTTTAGGTTGCTTTTAACTAGAAAATTACACCTAGAAGCACTTTTACAGGATATTAAGCAAATATTTGCAGGATATTAAACAACCAGGGTATTTTAATTCCTTGGACATCAGGAATTCCTCCATTTAAGTTTGTCTACTAGAATTAATATTCTGTCTTTATTACATTATGCCAAACTCTTTTTTCTATGCTTTCTCATTCAATTAACAGGATATTTTCTGGGAATAAATCCAATTTTATCTTGAAGGATGACACTCCCTTCAAGATCCTACATTCAATATTATGGAACCTAAATGTTACATAGGAGAACAGGTTTTTCAATCTGAGTTTTTGCCAAAGAATCCTTAGCTGGCTGCATTAATTACGTTGTTGTGTATCAATAGTAAATCACAAGACTTTAAGACTTTTCTAAGCTTCTCTATTACTGAAAAAAGGAAATTTAACACTATTCCCTCTCCAGTACTCCCTAACTGCTTGTTGTAATTAATTGGATCCATTTTGCAACTTCAGAAGGCTAAGTAGAAATATACTAATAGCAGCAATTATCAAATAAAGCACAGGTGCAAGCTTCTTCTCAGATCACTATAAATAAAGATGTCTGTATTCTCAGTTTCCATACATAAGCCAAAAAAAAACAACCCTGCCAACATATACTGCTTTTTGACTGCAAGAAATCTACACTATTGTTTAGAAGGTACTTTTTTCTTCCTCTGAAAGGAAGTACTATAATTCGTTGCTGTTTCTTATCAATTTATTTTATTGTAAGAGAACGGTCACAATATATCCTCTATCAATCAAAGATTTAGAATTAATACATAGAATGAATATATGAATACTAACAAGATTTTAATTTGAGGCACTGAAAGAATCTAAAGAGTAAAATAAATAGGTTGGCAATAACTGTATTGAAGTATAACTCACCAAAAATATAAATTAGTAGAGCTAAATCCCATTTTGTTGCAGCCTCAGTTCAAAAGTACTATTCTTCAGAACAATTTTAAAGACATTCTGAAGGCTAACTACAGAGTTATTAAAGTTTGTTTTAGAAAGCTGAACCATGGACACATGCAGCTCAGGGTAGGTCTCTTGATTTAAGCAGTTTTGAATTGTAGTATCTGCTTTCCTCGGTTACGTACACAGTTCTGAGGTCCATACTGTGCATCTTGACTCCAACACAGTTTACCATGCAACATACCATTCCAAGAAGTCAATACACATTTCATGATCCTATGATTAAAAACTGACAGATTAGGCCCAACTTCACAACGTTCATTGAAACAGAACCTCAGAAATTGATTCTTGAACACAGAAAGGAGGCTCTGGTCTTTGTTTCTTTACTGTAGTTGACTTCTAACTTACCCCACCAAGCTGTGGCTGAAAAATCCAGTTATTTAGATTTGGAGATTTCAGAGCTTCCAAGGTGCTAAAAAAAACCCCCATAATACATTGTTTGCAGCTTTCTACTGAATGGTATTCCAACATAATGACACATCTTAGTTTCTAAAATAATTTTAGGTAATTGTTTTTTGTGTAACTGTCTATACTATTCATGTATAGGTAAAAAATCCCAGGATATAGTACAACCTGTCCCTCCACCTCCTCGTTTATTATCTCCTTTAAAGAGGGGAAAACAACTGATCTTTACTTTCTGAGGAGAGTAACACTTGCTATTCATGCACACATCTGTACAGCACTGATTACAAATCTCTGCCAAAACAAACAACTGCAAGCAGCTGCCTGACTGTTTGCTGTGTTAAGTCATACCAGCAACCTTTTTTGTTTCCTGGAAAGCAACCCAATGACCAAGATCAGCAAAAAATTTATCGTCAGCAGGAATAAGCTCAATGTTACTGGATGCTGCACACACTCAGACCCATATTTTCACAAGAAGGCTATAAATGCAGCCAGGAGCCCCCTTTTACTTCCCATCTGTCACACCTCAGTGCAGCCTGGATGCTATAAGGCTGCTCCCATGAAGACTTTGAACACTCCTAAATACATAAATGGCAGACTTACTGGACAGATAAGAATAGTGTCCTAGGGTCCTGTTTCATCATCAAGGACAACAGCCAGAAAAGTAGTAATGTTTCAAAATGCAAAACTAAAAAAACCCTATAGACTGGAAAATGCCTACCTGCTGAGCTAAGCAAAACACTGAAGTCCGTCCCTCTCTGTGACTCCCCATGTTCATTCTGTTCCTCTTTTTCTGTATCTTCATAGCGGTTCCAGTTGGAAAATAACTTTCTTCTTGAATAGCATTTCAATTCTTCCTTCTCTTCTTCCGGTCGTGATTCGGTATCATCGTCCTCTGCTACCTGTGACATTTAAATAGACAGCTAAGCCATTGCAACTCAGCAGCAATTTGTTCTGTATTTAAACTATCATTCATACAAACAACTCCAACCACTGCAATAAAACCCAGAAAGACAAATTTACCTGGATCCCCATCAACATTTTAGATCAGGTGCTACTATCTTCCTGAAGTATAGGTAATTCATGAATAATGTATATAATTAAAAGCACCTAGTGAAGCTCCAGCTCTTACAGGGCTCAAGCCAGTTCCACTGCTTTCCCTCCCATTCTGGAAACCCATAATGTATAGCTTCCTTCCTAAAACTGGTAATGGGTAGGGAGTGGAACTAAGAATTTAATCCCAATATCTCTGTCCAAGTGTTGCAGTGATATAGATGATAACTGAAAAAGCTGATGATTGTAGAGCAGAATAAAAAAAAAAAAAAACAAATTCTGCAGAGAAACATCTTGGAAATGGTTATGTACATAAGAATTTCCATCATAACCAGCTACAGTGTCTTACATCAAGTAATATGGAATAATTAATCAAGTTAATTTCCTTCATGAAAGCCATTTAATGGAAATAGACATGAAAAAATTAAATAGGCTAGCAGTCAAGCTACTAGCCTAACCTCTTAAAAAGCTCTAGGACCAAAAAAAGAATTCATTGCAGAGTCAACTTAAGATACAAGTGAAAGAGGCATTTGCCACAAGTACTCAACAGCTACGGAAGACTCTCCCATTTTGAATCCTCTATATATGCAGTTCTCCCAGAGCTGAGAGTTCAGCTGGAATAAACGTTGGTTCTCAAACAGAAATATTTGCTCCCTGGAGGAAGAAGCACCCAACAAGCAAGAAAAGAATTGACACCAATCAGAAAAGTTCTGTACAAGATATTTTCTGCAGAGGTTTAAAAAGCACTGAAGAGTTGGAGTAAAGGAGCTGAGAAAGAGGTTCCCACCAGGGTGGCTCCCAACATTCCTGCTGACAGCTCCACTCTTTTTTCTCTCTTTACTCCATCTCTCCTTTCAAACCACAGTGTATTGAAGCCATAGGATTAAATTTTGCTGTCCCAACAATAAGTACATTCTTCATGTCAAGAACAGCAAAATTCCAAGTTAATCTATACTGCTGTAAAGCTTAAAGTCATCTCCCTTCGGTGTAAACTAATTTAAAAAGCAAGAAACCTTTTAGTAAGTCATCATATACCCATAAGCCAAAACACCCTTACAGCTCCCCATCAGATACTGGCTTTGAGTAGGACTTTGGCTTTTATAATTTAAACCAAATGTAATCCTGAAATAAATATGAAAGGAAATATTTATGTTTAAACAAGGCCCCTGTAAGGGAAAAGCTGCAACATCTTGTGCAGAAACATTAACAAATCTCTCATAGTTGCTGTGTTTCTAAAACTACATTAGGGTTTGGGTTTTTTAAGCATGCACTGTGAATGTCCATACTGGTACAATATTGAACAACCTGGTGAAAACAACTGCACAAAGCCACTATCAGGAACAAATCACTATCACTTGTCTAATTTGTTTTAGAATCAACATGTTACTCTCACAGAAAGGATGCAGAGCAACGCAGCACATTTTAAAGTGATTTCAGAAATCCATTGCAAAGAAGCTCTGGAGCCCTCAGCATAAGAATGACATGTACTTGTTGGAGCTGGTCCAGAGAAGGGCCACCAAGATGATCAGAGGGCTGAAGCACCTCTCCTATGAGGAAAGGCTGAGAGAGCTGGGGTTGTTAAGCTTGGAGAAGAGGAGGCTCCAAGGGGACCTTATTTCAGCCTTTCAATACCTGAAGGGGGCTTATAGAAAAGAGGGAGACTGTTTTTTCACATGGGTAGACAGTGATAGGACAAGTTTTAAACTGAAGAAGGGAAGATTTATATTATTTATATTACATGTTAGGAACAAATTCTTTACCCAGAGGATAGTGAGGCACTGGAAGAGGTTGCCCAGAGAAGTTGTGGCTGCCCCATCCCTGGAAGTGTTCAAGGCCAGACTGGAAAGGGTTTTGAGCAACCTGGTCTAGTGGGTGGTATCCATGCCCATGATGGAGGGTTGGAACTTCATGTTCTTAACAGTCCCTTCCAACCCAAGCCATTTTATGATTCTATAATCCCTGGAGGTATTTAAAAGAGGTACAGATGTGGGGCCTAGGAACATGGTTTAGTGGTGGTCTTGGCAGGGTTTGGTTAATAGCTGGACTTGATGATCTCAAGAGTCTTTCCAACCTAAATGATTTCATGATTCCGTGATTGTGAGAGTTTGGATTCTCCTGTGTTTGATGTCTTAAAAATGACTACCCAGAATATCATAAAAGTAGCAAAATCAGAACTAGAACAATGACTTCCCAAGAAAAATAATCCACCAAACTTCATAAGCAAGCTTCTTTCAGCACTGTTTGAGAGACTTGGTTAAGAACAGCATGAAGGAATGGTAAAACCACCGAAGAGATTAAAAGCTGCCATAATTACACAAACATACTCCCAGTTGTCAAACAGCTGACAAGAAGAAAAATATTCTGTGCATTCTCACTGGTTCTGTGCAATTTTTAGGCAAATTCTCTTTTCTTTCTATTCATCAGATAAATACACTAAAATGGGTGTTGTGGATAAACGGTTGGTTGTGTGGGCAAAGGGATGAAGTAGCAACTATATTACTGGAAACTGATGCAGAACTATAATTTCCACACAGCAAAGGTCAAATCCACTTACATCCAGATAAAAATAAACTTCTTTTCTGTTCTTCTCTGTGAATTGAATGATTTGCTATAATCCAGCAAACCTAGTGAAATTCAGTGCCCTAAATAACTTGGAGCTGATATGATTCACAAGACAAAGCAAGAATAGTGCTACACATATAGGTCAGTTTTGCACTTTACTTTTGTTTTTAAGAAAAAATCACAATCACCTTAGGCAACTATGACACTATCTACAATTACTTATTACAGACCTGTTTGAAGAATTCACCATTTTCAGCTGTCAACATAAACAAATCAGGAGTACCACCTTCTTATTTTAACAAGCTTCCAGTAAACTAACATGGATTCAAATGTTCACTCTTAAACTGGACTAAATTCTTTTCCACATTCTGTTATTAGCTATGTTATACAGTGCACCTCAAGGAAATTTCATTTCTTAGAAGTAAAATAGTTAACTTCAAGAAATAAACTACAAATTCTCAGGAACATTAATAGCAGTTATGCATCCTGGTTGCCCAAGTACTGTCCTGAGGCTTACTGTTGAAACGAATAAACTTCAAATACAAACCTGCTTCATTTCCAATAAATATTTAATGGAAAATTTTATATGATGCACTGTCATGCTACAAGATAAAACTGAAAATAATCAACATTCAATCAACTTAAAGATGTGTATTAACCATTAAAATGATCAAATACATTCAAAAACTCTGATCAGTGAAATTTCAGACAATAATTTGCTTCTACCATCTCACATGAGACAGCTACCATCTAAAGTAACAACCTAAGAAACAAATAAGCATATACTTTAATTACCTTCCTCTTAGCTGCCTATTCAGCTACACTATATACTGCTACCATGGTCATCCCATCCTACTGAAAATGAGTCTTAATCAGTACAGAGCAAACATTTGTCCTATGCTTAATGAAATAAAATAACTTCCCTTCTGCCACATCCCCAAATAACAGATGATACAAGCTGAAACAAATTCTAGAAGCCAACTCAAATATAACCTTTAAAACAGTATTACTTATATAAGGGAAAAACTTAAGCCTTTAAACAGTACTGAACTATATCTACACATTATTGCTCAGTGCTATAACGCACCATGATACCACAGAAGGTATAATATCTATCTGCTGTGCCTCTGTTTCAGGTAGGATTACGTGCATTATCATTTGCACACTACACTGAAATTTTGAAAGTGGGGAAAGTATGCAAAAGCCCAGTTGAATGAAACCTGGAAACCTTCAGACTATTCTGCGTATCAGAAGAACAAAAAAATATACACAGTATTTTGCCTAAACACTACGGTGCTCAAACAACAGTGAAAGAGCCAAGCTCCCTTGTAGAGGAACTTGCAAGATTTAGAGTCTTCTGCCAAACAATGCATTTTTATCCTTTACCAGAGCTTATGACTCCACTTTTCTTCTAAAGAAAAGCTAAGTGAATAGCACAAATGACCCCAATCTACAATTTACCACAGCAAAAGGATACTTTAGTACGCTATTTTTACATACATCTTTAGAGACAGTATAGTATTGAGAAAATGCAGGAAAACGTGGTCTTTAATTCAACTTTTCTTACATATGAGAACATGTTGATACACACAGTTCAGGAATTAAGGTGTTAAAATGAAGTAAACATTGTTCTGAACAGGTAATTTCCCCTGGGGTCATCCTTCTGCACTTCCCTGGAACCCTGAGTGGTTCGGATCAAACCAAGGCTGAAGTACCCAATGGAGAAAGTGCAACAGTGACCTCTTACATCCCCCTTCAATTACTCAACTGCTCTTCACTGTAAGTGCAATCACTCATAGCATGTTAAGCATATATGTCCAAGCATTCAACAAGAATTGTTGAGCTCATAGCCCTTTAAAAAAAATCCTGAAAGTGCATTAAAAGTCAGAGCTTTCATTAAGACTTTCTAAAACTGTATTTATTACCCTTAGGAAGCCACAGGAGCTAAGGCTTATAGCCCTTTTCCTGGTCAATTCTGATAACTCTGTAAGAAAAATTCAGAACACTTCAGTACTTAGAATATCCTACAGTAACATAAACATCATATGTTCAGCTTACCTCGCCTTGGGCCAACTGCCCTTCCCCATTATGTAGGTGTCATGCATTTATTAGATTTCTGTTCTTATTTATTTTGTAGTATTTCTCTCAATTCTCTTGCCAAGAATGTCACTTTACAGTATGTATGAAAACATAGTTTGAGCTTTTTTTGTTAATCTGTTAGAAAGAGCATAGCTATTTCTCTCCTTCACTGTCTTCCCAAATTATCTTTAGAAACTCTTCAGAATTA